ACAAATCCACCACTCATCTGTCATTTTGTTGTACTATGGTATCTTGCATTTTACTATGACACTGGAGGCTATGAAATACTGGCAGTGTCACCCATGGTAGACAAGTTTCAATGGAGTTTCCAGTCTAAGACAGACTCAGAAGTAGGAAAGGGCCATCTGCTTCTCAAAGAATTGACTAGTGGAAACGTTACGAATAGCAGTGAAACAATGTCTTGATATATTACTGGAAAACATTGAATAACCCTGAAATATCGTGCAATATAGTGCAGAAGATAAGCCCCTCAGGTCAGAAGGCACTCAGAATATGATTGCCTCCTCAGAGTAAAGCCGACCTTAATGACGTGGATGGAGTAAAGCTTTTGGGATCTCCATTTGCAAACATGGCATGACTCAAAATGGGAAGAAACAGCTGCAAACATCCATTAATAATTGGAACTTTCAATGTACTAAGGATGAATCTAGGAAAATTGGAAATTGTCAAAAATGAAATGGAATGCATAAAGATCACTATGCTAGGCATTAGTGAGCTGAAATGGACTGGTTTGGGGCATTCTGAATCAGACAACCATATGATCTACTATGTTGGGAATGACAAATTGAAGAGGTATGATATGGCATTCATCACCACAAAGCATGTTTCACGATCTATCCTGAAGTACAGTGCTGTCAGTGATAGGATAATATCCATAAGCCTACAAGGAAGACCAGTTAATCCTACTGTTATTCAAATTTATGCACCAACCACTAAAGCCAAAGACGACAAAATTGAAGATTTTTACCAACTTCTGCAGTCTGAAATTGAGCGAGCATGCAATCAAGATATGTTGATGATTGCTGGTGTTTGAAATGCAGAAGTTGGGAAGAAAGACTCACCAGTAGTTAGAAAATAAGGCCTGGTGATAGAAATAATGCTAGAGATCACATGGTAGAATTTTGCAAGAGCAGTGACTTATTTCAAATACCTTTGTCAACAACGTAAACAGCAGCTATACATCTGGACTTCACCAGGTGGAATATACACAAATCAGATTGACTACATTTGTGGTAAGAGACAATGAAGAAGCTCAATATCTTCAGCCAAAATAAGGCCAGGAGCTGACTGTTGAACAAACCATCAGTTGCTCCTATACAAATTGATGTTGAAGCTGAAGATAATTAAAACAAGTCCACGAAAGCCAAAATATGGCCTTGGTTTTATCCTACCTGAGTTTAGAGACTGTCTGAATAATAGATTTTACACATTGAACAACAGTGAATGGAAACCAGGTGAGTTGTGGGATGACATGAAGAGTATCATTCATGAAGAAAGCAAAAGGTTATTAAAAATACAGGAAAAGGAAGAAAAGACCAAAATGGATGTCACAAGAGACTGTTAAAGGAAGAATAGCTAAAGCAAATGGAGGAAATGACAAGATAAAAGAGCTGAACAGAAGATTTCAAAGAGCAGCTTCAGAAGACAGAGTCAGTTATTATAATGAAATGTGTAAATACCTGGAATTAGAAAACCAAAAGGGAAGAACGTGCTCATCATTCCTCAAGCTGAAAGAACTGAAGAAAAAATCCAAGGCTGAAAGGTTCCATAGGCAAAATATTGAATGATGCAGGAAACATCAAAAGAAGATGAAAGGAATATACAAGTCAATGTACCAAAAAGAATTGGTCAGTATTCGTCCATTTCAGGAGGTGACATATTTTCAAGAACTGATGGTTTGGAAGGAAGAAGTTGAAGCTGCACTGAATGAATTGGTGAAAAACAAGGTTCCAGGAATTGAGGTAATACCCATTGAGATGTTTCAGCAAACTGATGCTGCACTAGAGGCATTTACTCTTCTGTGCCAAGAAATTTGGAAGACTGCTACCTGGCCAGCTGAATGGAATAAATCCATATTTGTACTCATTCCAAAGAAAGGTGATCCCCACAAAATGTGGAAATTATCAACAATATCATTAATATCAGGAGCTCTGGTAGCATAGTGCCTAAGACACTTGACTGCTAACCAGAAGGCTGGCGGTTCAAACCCACCAGCCACTCCTCGGAAGGAAGATGGGGCAATCTACTTCCGTAGTGATACTGCCTCGGAAACCCAAGGAGGCGTCGCCATGAGTCGGGTTCGACTTGACGGCACATAACAACAACAACAACATCATTAATATCACGTGCAAGTAAAATCTTGCTGAAGATAATTTAAAAATGGTTACAGCAATATATTGACAGGGAACTTCTAGAAATGCACACTGGATTCAGGACATGGTATGAGGGATATCATTGCTGATACCAAATGGATCTTGGCTGAAAGTAAAATATAGCAGAAATCTGTGTTTGGATGATGCACATGCATTCAACTCTGTGACTCTTAACAAATTATGGATAAAATTTCAAAGAAGGGGAATTCCGTAACACTTAAATGTGCTCATGAGGAACTTGTGCAAAGACCAAGAGGCTGTCATTCGAATGGACAACTGGACTAGTAAACAACTTCATGATAAATAGAGAAAAGATTGAAGTTGTCAGAGACTTCATATTGCTTGGTTTCACGGTCACCAGCAATGGAAGCAATAGTCAGTAAATCAGACATGTTACACTGGGCAAACCTGCTGCAAAATACCTCTTTCAAGTGCTGAAAAGCAAAGATAATGCCTTGAAGACTAAGGTGTGCCCAACCCAATCCATGGTATTTTCAGTCACCTCATATTCATTGGAAAGCTGGACAAACTTAAGGAAGACTTAAGAAGAATTGATGCTTTTGAGTTGTGGTGTTGGCAAAGAATACTAAAAGTACCATGGACTGCTAAAAGAACTAACAAATCTGTCCTGGAAGAAGTAGAGCTGGAATGATCTTTGGAAGTGAGAATGGCCAGACTTTGTCTCACCTACTTTGGTCATGTTATCAGAAAGGGAGAAATATATCGTGCTTTGTAAAGTGGAGGGTCACTGAAAAAGGGGAAGGCCCTCAATGAGATGAATTGACTCAGTGACTGCAACAATGGGCTCAGCTGTAGCAAGAATCGTGAGGCTGATGCAAGACTGGACAGTGTTTCTTTCTATTGTGCGTAGGGTCGCTATGAGTCAGAGGTCACTCGACAGCACCTAACAGCAACAACAATAACAGCAATAGTAACAAATAAATAGTAAGTGAAATTTTTAAGAGATAAAATTTACAATAGCATTAAATTTTAAATATTTCTAAGAACATTGCTCATAATAGATACACAAAGCTTGTATAGAGGATATTGTTTAAATTTCTTGAAAGTTATTTTTATATACCATTTTTTTATTATTACGAACACTAAATTGTAAATTTGTCATTTTTCTTCCTATGGGTTTAGAACACCACTACCTTGTTGTTATGTGCCATCGAGTCGGACCCGATTCATAGCAACCCCTCCTTGTGTTTCCGAGGCAGAATCACTAGGGAAGTAGATTGCCCCATCTTCCTTCTGAGGAGTGGCTGGTGGGTTTGAACCGCCATCCTTCTGGTTAGCAGTCAAGTGCCTTAGGCACTATGCTACCAGAGAACACCACTACAGTTACAGTCAAAATCCCACCATATTTTTTCATGGTATCCATTCTAAAATTTACATGGAAGACTAAAGAAAAGCCAAGACACAACTCAAACTTTTAAATGAGAGTTTAGGGGGAAGTGAGTTTATATTAAAGATACATGTCTAATTTTTAAAATTAAAAAAAAAGTAAAAACTCATGCAGAGGTAAAATCAGATACTTGATATGAATGAACATAGGATTTTGAACCAGATTGCTTCATTACAGACAGAAAAATCTAAGCTATGGCATAGCACTTTCCAAAAGCTGTAGTTGCTCTGTGCCTCTCTCTTACTTAACAATAATCCTATAAATTGGATTCAGTGCATGTGAATATTCCCTACCTTCCTTCCATAATCTTTCCATGGTACTGACACATTGCCTTCCCATAATTGGTGACACTGTGGCATTATGGGGGAGCACTCCAGCTGTGGAGTCAGTTACATCCGACTGCAGGCACCAGCAGTGTGTCTCTTAGAGAATCAGAACCTCTCTGTCCTCATCTGTAAAGTGCATCCTTCTTTTGGGTCATTTTATTTATTTATTTATTTATTTTGCATCCCCTAATGCAAATTGGGAGGGGGAGAACTCTTTATTGTTATTTGGGTGAAAATTTACAGAGCAAATTGATTTCCTATTCCACAGTTCCTACACATTTTGATTTGTAACTTTGATTGAAGTGTCTGGGTTTAGGATCTTTAAAACCATTAGGGTAAAATAATAAACAAAAGGGAAACTGCTTTCCCTTTAGAAAAAACACACCATAAACATCTTATGGAACCATGGATATTCCTTGAGTGGATAAACTTTAAGCAACACATACCTGTACTCCCAAATGACTTCTACTCAATTCTCACTTATTGATTGTACTGGTTATCAGAAGTGAAGATACCCATTCACGGTGTTAATGAGCCCATGGATCAGACAGGCAAGGGAGGAAACTAGTACTTTTTATAAAGTGTGGTTGGTGAAGTAGAGCTCAAAGTGCTGTAGGAACATGGGAGTGGGGTGGGGTTACCCAGCATCAGCAGTCAGTGACTGTTTGGTTTACAAATATAGAGTCACTTTACCTATGTAGATGGTTGGAAGCAGTGTATATGCAAGAATGGTCAAAGAAAGAAAAAGTAATGAGAGAATTACTTAAGTTTTTCTCTCTACATCTCTGATTTCTCCTTTCCCTTGAGCTATGTAGTCATGTGCTTACAATTCTTATTTCACTGTTTTACAGTTGTAGGTTACCTATTCATCTTTATGCCTTCGAAGTTTTAATACTGAAATGTGGATAGGTCCTGTTACTTCTAAAGGAAATCAGGAATTTTATCAAAGAAGAGACTTGGTTATAAAATAATCTATTTAAAAAGTATATATAAAGTGTTGGTTAAGACAGCACAAATTTAATACCACAATAGATACTGTAATCCAGAAAAATGTATCTTAATAAGATTCTTTGATGTTCCAGATGGCAGGCAACAAATTTTGAGTTTGGGCATGGACTTGCAGTTGGAATGGATGAAACTAGAAGATTTTCAGAAGCATCTTGATGGAGAAGATGAGAATTTTGCTACAGCAGACGCAATTCCAAGTAGTGAGTGGTTTTGGAATTAAAAGAATTCTTTTGATGACTCTAGATATATAAAGTTAATTTGTCTTTTGTTTCATTTTAGATTTATTGAGGGATGCTGTGAAAAATGGGGACTATATTACTGTAAAGGTTGCACTGAATTCAAGTGAAGAATATAACCTGGACCAAGAGGTAATATGTCTTTGAATAATCTCATGAAAGAAACTTGGAAAATACCTCTTTTAAACAAATTCCATTTGATTTTTCTTCTCTTTCCTTTTTTTTCAATTACAAAGGTAAGGTACATTCATTTTATAAAATTCAAGCATTATAGAAGTATATAATGTAGAAAATTTTAGTTCTTGAAATTCCAGCACCCCAAAAATTACCAGCTGGTTGGGTTATTATTTATCTTTGACTTTATCTGTTGTTTAAATCTCTACTAGTTTGAAAATAAAATCGTACCTCTTTATTTTTATTTGATTACTTGTGTTTCTTTGGAGCTTGCCTATTTATAGCAATTACCCATCTGTCTTAGTTATCTAGTGCTGCTATAACAGAAATAACACAAGTGGATGGGTTTACTAAACAAATGTATTTTTTCACAGTTTAGGAGGCTAGAAGTTTGAATTCAGAGTGTTGACTCTAGAGGGAGGCTATCAGCTCTGTGGAAGATCCTTGTCTTTCGCTTCAACATCCTGGTTCCTTGGATATCTCCATGTGTCTTGCCATCTGTCATTCCCCATCTCTGCTCTGCTCTCTTATTTCATCTCTTTTATATATCAGAAGAGATTGATTCAAATTGAGTGTTATATACTAATCTTACTTCATTAACATAACAAACCAGCCCATTCCCAAATGGGATTATAACCATAGGCATAGAAGTTAGGATTTACAATACATATTTTTGGGAGACATAATTCAATCAATAACACCATCTTTCTGTTGCTACTGGAGTTTTTTTCACAAGAATTTGTGGAAGATTTTTAATACAGAAATGTATTACTTTTCAGTTTTTGTTTGTGTTTTCTTCTTTTATTGCATAGAGGATTTTTATTCTTAGTTATTAATATTATTGATTTTCTGTTTTGCGGCTTTTATAGTATAGCTTTTAATCTGTCTTGATGAGAATAAATTTTTATATTTCATCTATTAGGTTTGGGAGCTCTGGTAGCATAGTGCCTAAGGCACTCGACTGCTAACCAAAAGGCTGGCGGTTCAAACCCACCAGCCATTCCTCGGAAGGAAGACAGGGCAATCTACTTTTGTAGTGATACTGTCTCGGAAACCCAAGGAGGGTTCGCTATGAGTCGGGTACGACTCTACAGCACATAACAACAACAACGATATTAGGTTTAGTTGTGGATTTTTTAGGTTTAACCTTGGAACTGTAGGTCCTAACAAGATACTGGGATTTTTACTAAAATTGTTTAAAATATATAAAAGTTATTTAAAATACAAAATACATAATTTGGCTGAGAGTTGACATTTCTACATTTTGAGTCATTACATGTAGGAATGCAGTAACTCTACATTCATTCAGCTGTGCAATTATGCACTTAGGCAAGATTTTATGAGTTCTTTTCATCTAGGTCTTGCTCATTTTCTAGACTTTCTTCCTACGTATTTTATAACTTTTTCCTCCTCCTCCTCACCAACACTTGTTATTTCCTTTTCTTTTGTTTATGATAGGTACTGCCAAACCCAAAACCAAACCTACTGCCATCAGGTCAATTCTTACTCATAACGCCCCTATCGGACAGAGTAGAACTGCACCATAGGGTTTCAAAGGCTTTAAATCTTTACAGAAACAGACTGCCTCATTTGTTTCTTGTGGAGCAGCTGGTGGGTTCAAATGCCAGCTTTCAACCAATGCTTTAATCACAGCCCCACTAGGGCTCCTTAGTAGCCATCCTAGTGGGTATTTATGTGGTATCATTGTGGTTTTGATATGCATCTTCCTAATGACTAATGAAGTGCCTTTTGGCCATTTGTATATTCTTTTTAATTGGGTTGTTTGTCTTTTTGTTGTTCAGTTGTGGTAGTTCTTTATAAGTTCTGAATATTAAACAGATACATGATCCCAAATATTTTCACCCCATCTTTTTGTTGTTTCTTCACATTGCTGATTGTCAAAGGGCCAAGGAGGCCACATCTTCTGACCTCCTCTAACCCCACAAGAGGAAGACAGAAACACCATCAGTAGCCCAAGGACTATACCTGTGAGGCTAGACATGCTACCTCCCTCCAGCGCATTCAAAAACCCTGACACCACCCGTTCCTCCTACAGCACCCACCACCTCTCTGCTGGGTTTGTTAATTTGCTGCAGTGACCACACACAACTCATAGATTATGGAGTTTATTAGGGAAGCAATAGGCTACAATTCAAGTTTAGGAACACACTCAGTCTCTCAGCAGTGCGTGTTTCTTGGTGTCTCTCAGCAGTGTGTCACTTGAGGTGTCTCTCACCAGTGAGTGTCCCTTGCATCTCTCTCAGCAATGTGTGTCTCTCACGTCTCTCAGCTGGCAGTGAGAGATTCCTTCTGCCTCTTGGAGGGCTCCTTTTGAGCCTGGCAGAGGGGCCAAACTAACCAATCCCAATATCAGAATTCTATACACCTGAGAGAGTGAGAGAGTGAGAGAGAGAGAACTTCCCAGAAGATTGCTTTGTGCTGCTGTCAACAGAAATACCCCAGGTGGATAACTTTAACAGTCAGGAGCTACTCGGTTGCTCATGGCAAATTCCACCACAGAGTTTACAAAGACTTATGACTAGAAAAGCCACACTATGTGATTTATTACACTGCATTGATAAACACTTCTGATTCATAAATGTTCTCAATTAATTAGATACAAGTCTATCTATTTTTTCTTTTGTTGTTCATGCTTTGGGTGTCATATTTAAAAATATATCATCATTATTCAAGGAAGATGGCATCATACAGATAGCCCTCACATTAAGTCCTACTTCCAACTGAGATTCCAAGTAACTAGGTAAAGCAGATACAAATAATGATACTGGAGTTTTGAGCAACTAAGGAGAAGATAAAGTATTAAATTCAGTGAAGACAAAGAGAACATATTAAATGACTGGGAAAAATAAATTATCCTGCCTAGCCAGTGAAGATTGAAACAGCAGAGGGAAGTCATTGGAAATGCAAAAGACCTCGTGGAGGAGTAAAGGAAGGTGTTAGGAAAAACGTCACAGAACCCACAGGCATTGGGGAATCAGTAGCCACACTGGGAGGTTTTCAAGGTGATCTGGGGGTCTGAGTGAGAACAATAATCTTACTGGGAAACAGATCAAGACCTCCTTGAGCCTGGGCTGGCACAGAGTCCAGAAAGGAGTAGAAAAAAGGGAGAAACTTACTCTGAGTATGTGGAGCCACAGAGTAGGTCTGTGTACTGGGATTTTATGGCTTGTTGATCCATGCAGAAAATAGAGGCCCTTCATCCTGTAGGGCATCTGTTGGTTTTAAATTGTGGGTCTTTGATTGCCAGCAGGATGTCACTATCAGCAGACAGTTGCAGAAGGAACCAGACTGCCCTGCTTTTACCTGCATCACTGACTAAATTATCTTGCTTCAAACACAAAAACTTCTTCTATCTTTCTGTACTGGGGTTTGCTTCTGGTGCCTTTTTGTTCCCCCTTTTTTCCCCTGCCTCGTCCAATGGGAGGAACACATTAAACCTCCACTAGGCAAACGGAGCTATTACACTGAACACCTTACCCAATAGACAGATAAAAACAATAGCTCCTGTGCCACAGGAGCCACAAGACAGTGGACAACACCTGCTCATCCTAACTCTAAATCCTCTTCACACTGAACAGAGACCTGAATCCACGTCCTCATCAGTGATTCTACCAACACAGAGAGAGCTAGAGAGCAACACAGTACAACCTAGTTAATAACAAAAGAAGTAAACCTGATTCACACTTTCAGATATTGTAAAACATAAAATCAAGGTGAAACAAACCAATATATAACTAACAATTAAAGACAACAACTTCAAAATGTCCAGGAAACAAAAGCCAACCTCAAATCAAACAAACAAAAAAGAAAACTGAAATAAAAGGAGCTCTGGTAGCATAGTGCCTAAGGTGCTTAACTGCTGACTAGAAGGCTGGCAATTCAAACCTACCAGCCACACCTCAGAAGGAAGGTTGGGCAGTCTACTTCCATAGTGATACTGCCTCAGAAACCCAAGGAGGGGTCTCCATGGGTCAGATCTCGCTCGATGGCACATAACAACAACAATAGAAATAAATAAAGCCTGGGCTAAATAATTATCTGTCGTGAAGAAGAACAAGCAATAGAAGTATCTGAGAAGGAATTCAGAAGGCATCTGCAAGAGCTCAAGGAAACTATAAGCAATGAGAAGAAGATAGTACCCTGGAAGAGTTCAGGAAAATCATTCAAGAACAAAATAACAAGATTAATACACAATTAGAACCTGTACAAAAACAGCAAATAGAACTCCAGAAGATGACATGGAAATAGATAACAGAGTGGAAGGACAAAAGAGTAGATTAGACCTGGCTGAAGAATGCATTTCCCAGCTAGAAGACAAATCCCTTGATGCTAGCCTGTATGAAGAAAAATCAGAACAGTGTTTGAAGAGACCAAGAGAACCTAAGAGTTTTATGGGATGATATGGAAAGAAGCAATGTACGCTTGACTGAAATACCAGAGAAAGAGGAGGCAAAGGAAGAAAGAAAATTGTGGAGGGCTTGCTAAGAAAAAGTTTCCCCCATATCATGAAGGAAGAAAAGATATCTGTCCAAGAAGTTCAACAAACCCCACACAGAATAGATCTCAAGAAAAAGTCACCAAGACATATCATTATCAAAATTTCCATAACCAAAGAAAAAGAATATTGGGAGCAGCTTGGGAAAACCAAAATGTCACCTACAACAGACAACCAATAAGACTAAGTTCTGATTTCTCAGCAGAAACTATGAAAGCAAGAAGGCTATTGTCATTGTTGGTTACCTTTGAGTCATCTCTGACTCATATCTACCCTATGCACAGCAGAACAAAAGACTGTCCAGTCCTGTGCCAGCCTCACAGTTGGTATACCTGAGCTCATTGTTGTAGCCACTATGTCAGTCTATCTCGTTGAGGGCCTTCCCTTTCTTAATTGACTCTATACTTTACCAAGCATGATATCCTCCTCCAGGGAATGGTTC